ATGATCAATGTTCTGAATCTCACTTCTATACCAATTCATGGTTTGAAATTATTTGGTGTAAATTCCAATTATCACTTTTCATTAGTTCAGGTCAACCAAGGTGTAGTGGGCAACAATTAATATACACAATCTTCTTACCATAATCAACTTAGATAATTCTTTGAGTTAAACTTCTATCAATTTTCAATGGAAGGACTTCTCTCAAATATAGGTTGTGAGATTCCCAAGTCCAAGGCTCTTTCTAGATCACTCTAGGTCAGTGGTTCTCAACCTTTTAAATGCCGTGACCCTTTAATATATTTCCTTATGTTGTGGTGACCCCCAACCATAAAATTATTTTTGTTGCTACTTCATAACTGTAATTTTGCTACTGTTATGAATTGTAATGTAAATATCTGTTTTCTGATGGTCTTAGGCAACCCTGCTAATGGTTCTCAACCTGTGGGACACAGGAAGTAGCAATGAAAATAATTTTATGATTGAGGGTCTCCACAACAGGAGGAACTGTATTAAAGCGTTGCGGCATTAGAAAGGTTGAGAACCACTGTTCTAGGTGCTTCTTTCTCTTGACAATAATGGTACAATATAGTTAATTGTATCAGGATTTTAAAAGAAAGCAATGATGAAAATACAGAAGGGTTATTTATACTGATGCAATCATTATGACTTAAGTCTATTTGAAGCAAAAGTGCTTGCTGTATCCAAAATTCTATTGGCTTTGCTGAAAACCAAATTGCTTTGCTATTATTAATACTGCGTTCATTTCAACTATTAAACTATTAACTTAGTGAGTATTGGTCTAAAAGAGAATTACATAGTTCATTTTTATGATCTCATTGCAACAAAGTGGGAAAGCTTTTGAATGCACACCTTATACAAATTTAAGAGGAAGGAATGATCAAAAAAGAAATGAAGCTTGAAACGTCTGCTAATATTGTATAATCTTCTATATTAACTTAATTGTTTAACAATACCCATAAACACCTGCTCTTCACAGGAAAATAAAAGTATGAACAGACTCAACTGTTTTCTTTGGTTTGACAGTTTATTTGAGCAACATTTGACCTTCATTTACAGATATCTCAGTTGAATCTAGACGTCAACATTCCATTACCAAAGACACAAATATAACTATTCTATTTTTCATGCTAAATTGACTCACCAGCATTCTACTAAAGAGCCTAAGTGATAAAAAGAAAAATAACTGCTCAGGAGACAGCCTTCAAATTCTGACATTCAGGCCCTCTTGTTTAAAGAGGCATGTGTCATTGTGGATTCCTATGTTAAGCATACTTAGGTCTGCAGGGCAAACAACATGGCAAGGAGGCATGTTTGCCAACTTCGGGCCACAGCATTTCTCAATGTGTGGTTTTAAATGAAAATAATAAACCAAACTTCTTTTGAGAGCAGTATCTTCTGCAACAAGATTCAAAACTTTCATTTTGTGGAACCCAAACGTGTAAACATTTGGCCCCTTCCATGTCAAAGACTGCACAAAATTTTTTCTTCTGATTATTTATAACCAACATATACATCTCTGGATACTGAAATTCCAGTATGGAAATGTAGCTCACATGCTAATGGACACAGGTCCACAAAGCATCAAAGTGCACTATCTCTCCCCACTTCCATGTGGCACAGCTGTAGTCAGCTAACCAGAGCTCATATTTAGAATGTAGGCTTTTGGCCACACTGAAAATTTTTCATTTCATTTTATGCTACCTTTTATATAAAACATATAAAATGCATATAAGAACTAAATATTAGCACAAGACAACTTTGTGTATTATTTCTTTAACACATAATTTAAAACATGTTTTGTGATAGAATATATAATATTTACATTACAATATATTGCGTATGTGCTTTTCCTAGCATTTTATCAAATACTAGAGACCTGGTGCATGAAATTCATGCAATGGGGCATGGGAGGGGGGGGTGTTCCTCAGCCCAGCCTGCACCCTCTCGAATCTGGGACTCCTTGGGGGATGTCCAACTGTCGATTTAGGCCTGATCCCTGTGGCAGGGACTGCTGGCTCCCAACTGCTCGCCTGCCTGCCAGCCTGATCACTCCCTAGTCATTACCCTGCCAGCCTGATTTATGCCTAACTGCTCCCTTGCCAGCCTGATTGCCCCCAAATACCCTCCCCTGTTGGCCAGTCACCTCCAACTTCCCCTGCCACTGGCCTGGTTGCCCCCCAACCATTTCTCTGCCAGTCTAGTCACCCCTTACTACTCCCCTCCGCTGGCCCAGTTGCCCCCAACTGCCCTCCCCTGCAGGCCCATTCCCCCCCAAATGTCCTCCCCCACTGGCCCGGTCACCTCCAACTGCCCTCCTCTGCTGCCCTAGTCGCCCCCTATTGCCCTCCCAACCGGCCATCTTCTGCAGTGGTGTGAGGGTCAATTTGTATATTACTCTTCTGTTATATAGGAAGGATAGGTAATATGATAGTGTCTTTCTCAGGTGAATGAGACCAATGTTGTGTTTCAATTTACTAATGCTTCGGCACATTTGAAGAGCTAGTCAAAATTAAAGAGCAAAAGAAAAATATTATAATGTAATATTAAATGTCCTTACTTATTTTCTTATGTGTTCATTGATTAAAATGTATTAATCAGATGTTTCTTGAAGAACATCTTGATTTTCTACCTTAGATAATATTTTGATGTCAAAGCCTTGGTTTTCTTCTTTGCAAAATAAAAATGTACATATTAAAATGTACATATTAAAAGTTACATAATAAAGAAATGTATTAATCAGATGTTTCTTGAAGAACATCTTGATTTTCTATCTTAGATAATATTTTGATGTCAAAGCCTTGGTTTTCTTCTTTGCAAAATAAAAATGTACATATTAAAAGTTACATAATAAAGAAAGCTAATTTTCTTACTCATCATTCACCACATTGAAATCAAATAATGCTTCCTGAAATTATACTTTGTTGGATTTAAGGAGACACACAGAAAAGAGATCCTGGAAAGATCTTAAAGTCAAACTGCAAAATCAAATTAAAAAATAATTTTCATTTTTGAAAAAAGAATCTCCAACTCTTAGTTACTAAAGAATTAATCTTTAACCTAACAATGTCTTATTCCTACAAGGAAGGATTTAAAAATCATTCTATTCACTATGAATAAAAAAATCTTCTCTAATCCTCTTTGTTCAAATAAACAGAGCCAAAGCAGCAAACAAGATGACCTGGTGTGAAAGATCTCAAGTTCATTTTCTTATTCGAGTTTTTGGGTTGAGAAATAAATTCTGTGATTTAAAAAAAAAAAAAAATCACACCAAAATGGACATGGAAGCTTCATGATGAATCACATAGTTTGAGAAAAACTGTGCTATTTTCAATGTACCAAAATTGTCTGTGCTTGTAATTATAGAATCCATACCTGGTACAACTATATGATGGCACTAAATACTCTTGCAAATGCAAAGAGACATCATTTTAACTCTCCTTAGACCAAAATTGGTTCTTGCAAGATTCCAGATTTTTCAATAACCTATTGTAATTTTTTCCTTTGTATCCTCTACTTTTCCAAGGCATCAGACTTGATGTATGGGATCCTATGCCACCTGAAACATGGGCTGTCAGCAGTGTGCATTGGATGTAGGGGAAAAGGGCAACATTTAGATTCTGTAGTGTGCCATTGGTTTCACAAAGCTTTTTGTTTTCCTCGCATATTAAGCTAATGTATTTTTAAAAGTCTTGTTGGATCTGCTATAATACTGTTAGTTATTTTTTTGGTGCACTTTGGATTTCAGAAAGGAACTGTCAAGTTATTTGGGAGAAATCTCCAAGGAGTTTCACTCTGCTAAATGATAAGGAGAAATGCCATGTTTGTGACACCAAGGAAGAAAGGGCATCATATAGAAGTAGGATCAGAAGGGCAGGCCTGGCAATGCCAACATATACTGTTGCCTCAGTTGTTCCCTTCAACTAACCTTGGAAACAATAAGAATGATGACAAGAGCAAAGGTAAAGTGCTTGACCAAGAAAATTAATATTAAACAATGTTGTCTATAAATTCCTAGTAGCATGAGTTATAAAATTAATTATAAGGTTTTAATTTATACTTAATAAATACTTTCATTTTTCATTTAGAGGACCAGTTCCAGAATAGGTAAAATGGGTTGAAAACTTTAAAATCTACCTTTATGATAGCCATTCTTATTAATGACCATTCAGCTTGCTAAAGCTGTTTATTATTATAAATTGCCTGCATGTTAACGTGCAATTTATTTCTTCTTAATAATTGGTTAATTGTACTTATTTTTCCTCCCTATGGAATATCTTGGCATTTGCAATAGCATCAGTGATGACACACCAATTCTCTCAGTGTAGATATCTCAATCCAGATGAGGATATTGGTAAACAAATAGCTGGAAATCCTTTTCAGGGACAATGATACTACAAATAATTAAAAATTCTTGGCAATAAAATCATCATGATCTTATTTTGTCAACTCATTTCTCCCAAATCAAAAACATAACTTCTTAATAACTTCCAGGCAACTTAGAGCTGTCTTCCAAATATCAGTTTTTAGACTACTTTTTTCTATAAATACTAACTTTTTACATAAAAAAATCAAAATTTTCTATTTTCCTAAGTGGACAAATTTGTCAATAGTGTAAACTAGAATAAGATAAAGGTCCAATCTTTTCAGGTTTAGAGATTTAGAAAAATCTGTGGATCACTTCTCAGAACATCTAAAAACAGATCCTCAAGGGCAACCTGTAAGACTGTGAATTTCCTGTCTGAGAAAGAAGCATTTAGTCACAGAGTAAATTTAAAATAAAACAAATGATTAAACATCTAAAAAAATGTCACATGAATATTTATCACTCAACAAAAATCACATATCAAAGAAAAAAAAAATCTACTCTGGATTGAACCACCAGTAACTTAAGACAGAAAGGAAAGCAGGCATACAAATGTGTGACACATTCACCATTAGAAAGCAGAACTTCCTTATGGCGAGGGACAAAGTGGACTGACCTTTTGTGGCGAGGCTAGTGTTGGGTTCATATTTCTCAATCAATACTTGGACTTGCTCTTGCTTTAAAGGTGGGTAAAGTATTTCATTTAGCCGGGGATCTCGCTGCTTAATGTTGATAAAATCCATCATCTGGTCAACAGTAAGGTATGGTCTGCTTTTGGCACCACTAAACACAATTAAAAACCATTAATTAGAATATTTCCCACCAAGTTGCATTCATATATTTGCATTTAGCTACAGAGAAACCAAATCCTGTCATTCCTGGTAAGAGCATGTTATCCTGAAATTCCTATCTTGCCCTAAAGACATTGTGCTGCTCCACGGGCTACAAATAAGTTTTCCAATCACTGCTACTAAGTCCCAATGCCCTTGAACAATACCCAATGCATGACAAAATCCACAGTAGGGAAAATATTGCATCTTGTGTGTAAAGAAAAACCACTGTAACTGATCACAGAGGTATGGGTTCTTTTTTTTAATTTTTTATTATGACACTACATTTTTTTAATGTATCTTCATTACTGAAAGAGATGTCCCCTTTTAGTCTGCACCTACTTCAAGCTCCAGGTCTTTAACACACTATTGTCTATGTCCATGGGTTATGCTTATATGCATACAAATTCTTTAGTTAATCTCTTCCCACCCACTCACCCTCATCTTCCCTCTGAGATCTGACAGTCTGTACCATGCTTCTACGTTTCTGGATCTATTTTGTTCATCAAATTCCCATATCCCTGTATCACATGTAATCATTTAAAGATGTAATAAAAAGTAAGCAATATGTTTAAGCACATTTTTCTTTTCATTAAAGTTACATTTCAACAAGAGTCTATAACTCTTCTATATGGTGTGATTCAAACTTCACATTTTAATCCTGCTGGCAGCCAAAAGTCAAGTTCAATTGTACAAATATTGCATATGTTCAATAAATATAGTTGATGGCAATGAACTTCAGTATGCGAGTATATTCAATGTCATTCTCAGCAGCACTGTTTGCCTGTCTTCCATATGAAGAAATCCTTATTGTATTTATCAATTTTGGAATGATTTTCTGTCATCACAGTATAGATTACAGTATATCAAAAGAGTAAATTGTTACTTCCCCACATATGCCTTTGTGTTTTGGTTTCTTTCTTATTTTGTTTCATTTATTTAAAAATTTTAATGCCTTTATAATTTCCAACATATAATTTTCAGCTGGGAGGGTTCTTAGTGATCCACACTTGTCATTTCACTAATGTAGCTGAGAGGTAAGATGGCTAATTCCTAGTTCAGAGTTCTTTCTGCAACATGAATCTGCCTCAGCTAAACTGCTTCTGTTCTAGCCTAATCTTCAAACCACACAGAGCCCCCTGAGGTTACTAAAACAGTTACACCCAGCAACGAGTCATAGCAAACATCCCCTCATTAAAAGCCCTGGTGGCACGTCAGGGGCAGGAATATGTGATTGTCTCCAGCAATTACCCAGAAACACTGCTATTAGACATAGTGCACAAGAGGGCCTTCCCCTCCCTCTATTGCTCAAATTCCTGCTCTAGCAGCCCCAGAACTACTGAAGCTGGGAAATAGTGGGTTAAAATGGATGCTCTTACAATTCGGAAAAGATGTTATCAATTTCAGGTCGAGGGCAAAGATGGTTCAGGAATACTCTGTACATTTCTGGAGTGAAATCTTCTTGAGGTATTGAATCATTCTGGGAAATAAAACAATACTGTCAGTTAATGGTCTTTTTCTTTCCCTAGCTTCCTCCTTCCGTGCTTTCCTCAATTTCTTCCCTCCCAACCTTCATTCCCTCCTTTCTTCCATGCATTCAGGTAAATATTCAGAAGACATTCATGAGCCCAGCTGTGCGCTCCATTTGAACACTGGCTTTCATGTGTCAAAAACCTTATTCTCTCCTGTGTTTTCATTATAATTTAAGTGTAAGAGTTTTTTTTTTTTTACTAAAGAGTTGTTAAGGCAATGTCTTAAGTACATTTCTAAAGTGAAGTTAGACTTAGTAAGAAGTGGGTCTCTATAGCATATTTTTAAAGTTTGCTTTTTGTTTGGTTTTAATCTTTTTTATTGTGATAACATTTATACAACATAATAAAATTTACCATTTTAACCATTTCTAAGTGATCAGTGACATGAAGAACACTCACATTTGTTCAAAACCTGTAAAGAACTAATTTTGTGTCATTTTTTCCCAAATAATGTTCTTTCCAGTTTAAATAACCCAATAAATTGTAAAATCTAATATGAAATAAAAGGCTGATATGCAAATTGTCTGCTCGGAAGTTCAACCAGGAGAGCAGGAGTTCGATCACTCCCTATGATGTGCACTAACCTCCAGGGAGTGGCATGGAACATGGCTGGCAACCAGTGGCGGCAGGGTGCTGAGGGAGCGAGGAAAGGAGGAGGCAGAGAGGCAGGGAGGCCAGGCTTAGGGACCCCACCCTGCATGGATTTTATGCACCAGGACTCTAGTATTTTCATAAGATAGGGCCCATTATTTCTCACTGGCTCCTCCTGGCCCTATTGTTTGGGAAGCAAGTCACTGACATAAAAAATCACTTCTCTGACTTATCTTTCTGTGTAGTTGGGCTGCCATGAAAACCGGAAGCGTATATTCAAGCCTTTGTTAACAGGAAGGATATTCTTTATGCCGTTTTCCTATTTCAGGTAAGTGTTTATATGAGTGTTTTTATTTTTCAAGCCCTTAAACCAAAGAAAACACCCTTCCTTTTACCATAGTCATAGGTTTTGAAATGTACTTTTATAAAAGTTTCTAAAAATTATTGTCTGAAATCGTACACTCCTTGCTAACAGATAAGAAAACTTAGTTCACCACTTAGCTCACTCCCATATCTGTGGACTGAACAGATAAAAAATATATTTTTTTGTAATCCATTTAAAGAGCACAAAAAAATCTGTTTTTAAAAACAGAATTTTCAGACAACTAAACATTATACACAGCAAGATGCATTATACCATTAAGCTTAAATACCTGGACACCAATTTTGAAATCATGAGCACAAGTGGCCAAATCCAAGAACAATGGAAAGTTTCTATGGGTTGTTTTATTGGTGCTTTGCCACTCATAAAATGGCGACAAGTACAACCTGTAACCTGGTTTCCAAAGTCCCATTCTATTCACAAGATGGAAGAAACCCTTTGCCTAGAAGTTGTACATTTTCCATTGCCCCCTTTCTGTGACTTAAGCACCCACATCTCCTTAAGTTGCTTTGTTGACAGCTGGAAATGATCCTCTCTATTTTACTTTTTGGCTGAGAGACACAGAGAAAATAAATATTTAAATATCAACAGTAGTAAAGAAATACTGAATAGCTCTGTTAGCTAACTCAAGCATTCAACTTTATTGGATTTTGTGAACTCCAAGTGTGTCCTCCCATTCTCTGTACTATTTAGTTACTATGTGGAGTTCACTCTTCTCCCCACCCCAACCTCACCCAGCACACACATATATGGATTTTATCTAAGAACATCAATAATTATCTTCCTTCCCTTCCTGACCCCTTTTCTCCCTCTCTTCTTGTCTTAGTTAAAATCTCTTCCTCTTAGAGCCTTTCTTTCCTCCCAAACAGGTTTTGCCTTCCATTCTGTGATACCATCACACCTTGCTTGTCTCATATTTCAACACTCATTTAACAGGATTCTGCTCCCAGCTGTACAATTCTATTACTTTCCAGCCTGCAGATCTACACAAGCGAGGGCCTGCATTTTGCTTGTTAACTGCTCTATCTACAGTGTGTAACATACTGCAGGTGCACACTAAATACTTACTAAATGAATGAATGTAATTTATGAGAAAGGTAGAAGTTGATAGCAAGGACTTATGTGCTGTATGTTTCCCTTAGAATAGCAGATTTAACTAAAGTCATTTACATAAGATTTCAGACACATGACTCCATAGAACACTATGCTTTAGTAAAACTCTAACCATTGTTTATTTACCAGCTGTGAATCAGATCTTCCTATAGAGGGGGACACATTCATTAAGATAATATGAATAAACACAACTTATTGTCATCACCAGTTGGATGTTAGAGCATAGAAAAAGGAAAACATTTCAATACAGCTGATTTTCCTTGTCTCATTTTTCTCTTACCCAACTTGAGCAAGCCTTTGGAGTCAGTGGGTGAAAGTGAGAGAAAAAAACATTTTGTTAAAATGTGCATAATTGGGTCCTAGCTGGTTTGGCTCAGTGGATAGAGCATTGGCCTACAGACTGAAGGGTCCTGGGTTCCATTCTGGTTAAAGGCACATCCCTGGGTTGTGGGATTGATCCCCAGTAGGGGGCATGCAGAAGGCAGCCAATCAATCAATGATTTTCTCTCATCATTAATGTTTCTCTCTCTCTCTCCATCTTCCTTTCCTCTCAAAAATCAATAAAAATATATTTTAAATATGTATTATTGAAAGCTAAAGTGAAAGAGCATAGGGGAGTAATTTTGTAAGAAATAGGTATTTAACACTCAGAAAATGTTATTTGAAAATATGTTAATTTATTGTAGTAGACTCTAATAACTCAATAGTCCACATACAGATTTCTTTTTTTTTAAATATATTTTATTGATTTTTTACAGAGAGGAAAGGAGAGAGATAGAGAGCTAGAAACGTCGATGAGAGAGTAACATCGACCAGCTGCCTCTTGCACACCTCCTACCGGGGATGTGCCTTCAACCAAGGTACATGCCCTTGACCGGAATCGAACCTGGGACCTTTCAGTCTGCAGACTGATGCCCTACCACTGAGCCAAACTGGTTTTGGCTTACATACAGATTTCATCTCAACAAAACAATGAATTATCTCTCAATAAATTCAGTGTTTTAACCTATTCATAATATGTTTTTTTCTAAATCTATAAATTAAAAGTTGAGTTAGCCATAATGTACATGAAATAATTATAAGTAAACTGCTCATAATCAATCTCTGAATGTTTTTTGTTAATTTTTTATTTATTGATTTCAGAGAGAGAGAGAGAGAGAGAGAGAGAGAGAGAAAGACATGGACTTGATGTTCCATTTACTTAGGCATTCATTGCTTGATTGTGTCCTGACTGGGACCTTGGCTTATGGGGTAATCAACTGAGCTACCCAGCCAGGGCTTTAATAAGGCTTTAAAATTTTTATATTAGTTATTTTAATAATCACAGCTACAGAAATGACTATATTTCTGATTTGTATTTAGGATGTGAAACATAGGAGAAAGGCAAATCTAACAGTTATCCTGAGAAAAATTATTTTATAACTTTATTCATAATATTCTTTAGTAAAATTTAAAGTATTCTTTTAATCCAGAAAACACTATTTCCCTCAGTATTACTCTACTATATGTTTATAACTATAGTAAACTTTGTTATTTAAAACAAACACATGGGTTTACTCCTTATCTTCATCATTAAATGAAAATACATGTGCTAATGTTATGCCAAGACTAGAATATAACTATAGTAAACTTTATTATTTAAAAGAAGCACATAAATTTATTCCTTATCATCTTCATTCAAATGCAAACACATAAGCCAATGGCCATATCAAGACTACCATACAATTCCAAATGACACTGAGCTGTTCTCAAGTTAATAAGATTTAAATCAAAGGTAATTTGGTGCAAGTAAATTATTTTCAGTGCTCAGGAAGTTTGTGGGTAAAGTGGTAATTTTCTGAATATGCAAAGGTCTTCAAAGGTTTCCCTGGAAAATGTGTTTGGATTATTAATAGAAGGACAGTAATTGCTTCGTCTCTCTTTTTATCTGTAGAACTACTTTTTAACAATTAATGTAATTTGGACAAGCTACTGTAATCTCTAAAGGAGTACCCTCTAAAGGAATGTGTTATTCCAATGGATCACGTTGGCCAGGACACAAGTTCAAGTGCATTAATTATCCCTAACAATGTGCACAAAGATAATGTTTAAAAAATCTCAACAGGATATCCACTGTATTTCTGGTAATGTGCCTATTTACAGAACACAATTAAATCTGGTTGGAATGACTGCCGGCTATGAAAAGAGGCTCCAGACATGCAGGACTATCTACCATTTATGTAACTTTTCTTCTGGGCAGTATTTAAAACACTTCTTGTTAGGATATCCCAAATCCTTTTGCTAATTAGCAGATACTTTCTAGAGACACTGTTCTGTGGACGTGAAATTACAACAAGGATTTAAAATATAGTCAGCTTGCAGAAACATTTATTTCTGAGCTCTGAAACTGTCTCTGCTTTTTAAAATTTTTAAAGCATTCTATTTCTACAACTCTTCCAAGTAAAGTGTACTTTACTAAGAATAATGGTCTTTCAAAACTTTATAATGGAAGCTGATCATATTTTTTAAAAATCCCCAATCTGTTTTCAGAAAACTGTCATAACATTTAATTTTCTAAAGGTAAATATGTTTTTCAATTTAAACATGACTCCTGTTATTTGAATCTCGGTTTCTTTTTCAAATGTCTCCAGTTGACTTTGGTCTGAAAGCGTGAACCTATAATAGACATAGTGGATTTGTAAAAACTCAATTTATTTTTATTGACCGAATTTTCAGAATCCAATTGTTTGGAAAACTGCAATTTACAGAGAATTGGCTGATGGGTTTGACTTTCTGTGCAGTTTCATTTTCTACTCCTTTTCTTTAGCTAGATAGTTATAATAACAACTTAAGTTTTTGATCATTATATTTCACCAATGTTATCCAGTAAAAGTAAAATCGGGAGCAGTTACAGAGGAAAAACATTTGACACCCATCTTTCTAAATTAATCTCTCCCACTTTCTTTTTGTGCTTAAATGCAGTTCTCAAACTGGCCAAGTCTTTCCGGCCTCAGGGTTTTGCGCACATTGTTTAATTTTTCTAGAATGAGCTTCCCTCATTCTCACTGGTAGCCCTCCACTCCTTTTGCTCCTAGATTTCCCCACAAATTACACGCAAGTCAAGGTGTTTGACTTGCATCCCCCAGACTCTCTGATCCTGGAACCCTGGGACTGCAAAGTATTCATTACCCTATTGTCAGTGCTTAAGGGTACCCATAAAGAGTTCAAGAAGTATTTAATTATCGACCTTAGCTATTTCTTTCCTACTCCAAGGTATCTCATGGAAGAGCCAGAATAAGCAAGTTCGATCATTTTATTTTGCTTATTAAAGTGAAGGTTAAAATGTGTGCAAGCTTCCATACAGCTCTGCCCTACTGTTGGAGCATCAGCATCTGTTTCCACCTGTAGCAGGAAACTGGTGGTGGAATGGCACTCTGTTTTTCTTGCTTTCTTCTACCTACCAAAGTCGTCATTAAACTTAATTTTTCTGAAAAGTGTTCCCAACAAGCACTGACCTGTGAATCTAATAATGGTACTCAACTCAGCTTGATGGCCCTTCCACTTCATTCTCTGCAACTTGAGCATTGCCAGTGGGTTTTAGAGGCTCACAGGCTTTCTCTACAGCATAAGGATTGTCCTTGGGAAAGTGCTTACTTGTTGCTTAGATACCAGGATAAAAATACTTTGTAACAGAAAAGAGAGTTCTGCGTATAGCACGAGAAAAAGAAAAGGTGCTCTACAATAGACCCCTTTCTCTCAGAAACAATGGTAACAAATCATTTCAGAGGCAGGCAGGTAGAAATGTACTGAAATGAAAGGTACTGAAATGAAGGCCAATTCATTGAGTTTAGGTGTTGAACACATATTGAGTGCCTTGAATGTGTTGGGCATGAAAAAGAGCATATTACAACCTTGTCTTTTCATCTATCATACCTTTCCACCATCTGAGCAAAGTAGCAGTCTCCAAACTGCATCCCTCTCAGCAAAAACTTTTTGAGCACAGCCCTGCAGAGCATGTAAGTGTGTTTCTTTACAAACATGTACTGCTGTACTAATTGCTTAGTAACTTATCACTCTTAAAACTATAAATTTTTAAGAGTGAGATAAGATTAAATTAATATTTCAAATACCTTCCCAATCAAAATCTATAATGATTAGCTAATATCTACAGGGACACTAAGAGAATTTTATTAGTGAGAAGTTTAAATTCTAGATAATTTTTATTTTTATTGATAAAGAACAAAGTTCTTTCTAGATTAAAGTTGGAATAAGGGGAGTGAAAGAAAATATAATTACAGGAACATCACATATTATAAATATTAACAAGTCCTATGATTTTCTTCTCTCTCTCTCTCTCTCTCTCTCTCTCTCTCTCTCTCTCTCTCTCTCTCCTGTTAATTCTCACTGGCAAATAATTTTTCCATTGATTTTTGGGAAGAGTGGAAGAAAAGGAGGGGTGGAATGAGGGAGTGAGAGAGAGAAAATTGATGTGGATTGCTTGTCTCCTACACCTGCCCTACACCAGGCTGGAAATCGAATTGAATCTGCCACCCAGGTATGAGCCATTGCCTGGAAACCAAACCCATGACCCTTTGTTTGGCGGGCCAATTCTCTAACCACTGAGAAACACAGCCAGAGCTCCTATAGTTTGATGTTTGGAAAGCATTTGGGGCAACCTATACTTTAGTAGGACTGCTCAAGCTATTTAGTAGTGCTAATTTTAGATAGGCAACATGCTCACCCTTGATGATGGAAGACTACAAGCCTCTAACGCAGTTTCAACTCGTTTCCGGTCTGCTGAAAACAAGCGGTATATGCTGCAAAGTGAAAGCACAACAAAGGTGAGAGGTTTTTTAAAGCCATATGGATCCCAGCACTTTTAGGTGATGCCAACCGAAAACATTCCATTGAATCGACCTCTTTGGCATTCAGCTTTAAAGCATTAAAAACTTCCCACCATACCATGCATATGCACATTTGTTCTGAAAGACTGATGCGTGTGCTTTTTATAATCAAAGTACCTAATATAAAATCAATATTTTGAGACAATGGTGATGACTCAATTGTCTCTAATAGTAAGCACTAAATGTCCTTGCTAACTTTGTATCCTTGCTGCTACCCCTTGCTCTAAAGGTATACATTGTTAATAGCTATAATAATAAAAGTGTAATATGCTAATTAGACCAGACATCCTTCTGGACGACCTTCTGGACAAAGCAATGGCAGAGGCAGAGGCCCTTGACTGCTTTGGTGGTGGCGGTGTGGGCTGAGCCCTTTGCCCAAATTTCTTGCATCAGGCATCTAGTCTATATATATAAAAGATTAAGTGACTGACCAACTGGCTGGTAGCTATGATGTGCAATGACCACCAGGAGGCAGACACTCTGACCAGTAGTTATGATGCTCACTGACCACCAGGGGGCAGGGGCTCAACGCAGGAGCTGCCAAGCTGCAATGACTTGACAGCTGTAGTTCTTGGGTGACACACCTGGAACCAGAGAGGAAGGAGCCCAATTCCAAGGTGCATCACCCAAGAACCACCCTTTCATAATCTGGGGCTCCTTGAACGATGTCAGAGAGCCGGTTTCAGCTGGATCCCCGCAGGCAAGGCTGAGGGATCCCACAAATCCATGCATCAGATCTCTAGTTATAATAATAATTAATGATTTAACTTTTACATTAACAGAAGCCCACTAGTACCTAGTAAGCCAATGGTTAAAGTTTTATGGTTAAATATGGTCTGAAGATGTGCTTTTATTTTTATTTTTTTGTCAGTAATTTGGCTTTTAAAATATAACTTAAATACTGCTATATTTAATACTAGAGGCCCGGTGCATGGATTCATGTACTGGTGAGGTCCCTTGGCCTGGCCTGCAGGGATTGGGCCAAAACTGGCTCTCTGACATCCTCTGATGGGTCCTGGATTGTGAGAGGCAATTCTTGGGTGATGCATCCTGGAATCAGGCTCCCTCCTTTCTGGTTCTGGGTGCATCACCTGAGAACCTCTGCTGCCAAGTCACTGCAGCTCAGCAGCTCCTGCATTGAGTGTCTGCCCCTTCAGGTCAGTGTGTGTCATAGCTACTGATGAGAGCATCTGCCCCCTATATAACACTTACATTGGATAGTTTTTATTTTTTATTGATAAAGAATAATGTTCTTTCTAGAACATTGCTACTGGTTGAATGGTTGCTTAGGCATATATATATAGATCATAATTTGTATTTAATGATTCTATTGAAACATTAGAAAATCTAGTGCCTAGAGCCCAACGGTCCCACAGGATTATGATGGGGTTGAATTGTTATTGTCCCATTTAGATGGGGATTTCACTCCAGTTTTTCTTCCGGATCTTGGCCTGCTTCATCTTTTCTTTTCTCACCTGGCTTCTGTTGACATTTGAGTTTGAAATCCCTGCTTTCAGGTTAGTGTCATTGTGGTATAAAAAGACACCATGGTCACCCAATTTCCATCCTAGAATAGTTCTTAATTATTAATCTCCGATACTCTTTTGGATTATCAGCAAGATTCTCCCCCGCCCACTCCATGCTTTCTTGCTTTGTGTTTCTTGAAAATGAGGCCACAGAAAGGGGAAGCCATGGGACCCTCTGAGGAAACTGGCTGCACTGCTGTGAACAGGCGTGTGAGGCAGGATGGGGTGACCATGCATTTCCATGCTCTCACTTGGGCCAGAGGAGAAACAAAACAGTCATGGCATGGACTCAACTCTTTGGGAAAAATTAAAAGGAAGAGTGGGAAATGCTCAGGAAGCTTACTTTTTGAGAGGAATGCGCCCTTCTGGAGTGACTTGCAGCTTAAGTTTAGTATAGCTGTTGGAGAAACAGAAAAACAAGTGTTTACTTTTTAAATATATTTTATTGATTTTTTTACAGAGAGGAAGAGAGAGGGATAGAGAGTTAGAAACATCGATGAGAGAGAAATATCGATCAGCTGCCTCTTGCATACTCCTTACTGGGGACATGCCCGCAACCAAGGTACATGCCCTTGACCGGAAACGAACCCAGGACCTTTCAGTCCGCAAGCCGACACTCTATCCACCGAGCCACACTGGTTTCGGCCAAGTGTTTACTTTTTAAAAATAAAAAAATATATATACATTGGAAAAGGGCTCATGAATATGCAGTTCACTAAATTTTCACAAGCTGTCCATGTCTCTGCAGTTGGCACCCAGATCAAGAAATAGAATATTATCACAATGTAGCATCCCAGCAGCCCCTCTCAAACCCCCTTCTGGAATCTCTTCCCCAAAAGGGAACTGTAATCCTGACTCTAACCAACATAGACAAATCTTGCCTGTTTTGGTACTGTATGTAGATGAAATCACATTTTTTTAAGTCTGGCTTCTTTCACTCAAAGTTGTTTTTAAGATTCATCCATGTTTTTGCTTATAGTTGGAAAGCAATAATTCTCATTGCTGTATAGTATTTCATTGTGTGAATATATCACCTGTATTTATCTCTTCAACTGTTTCTGGACATGTGGCTACAGAGATAAAGCAACAGAATTTGGGAACACTAAAAAACTACACATGGTATGACCAGCAGTCTCATATCTAGTAGGACTTGCAACAGAAATGCTCATAACATGTTCATGGTCTATAATGTCCATAGCAGCTGTCTGGTACAGACATTTGCAATAGGTAACAAATGATTAGCTAAATAGATGTTTTTACTAGATATAACATGCCATGTTTCAGATAAAACATTTATCTATGTGTCATGGCCCACTAACATTGCCTGGCACAAAAGATATTCAAGAAATGTCTATTAAATAAATATTCATTAGATGTAAAAAAAAAAAAAAAAGATAGATAAAAAGGTGTAGAGGAGGAGGCATGTATGAAGGGTCAAACTCAAGGTGACAACTAAGGAGATGAGATGAAGAGAAAGCAATTAAGTGAAGACCTGTGGCTACTGACTCAAAGTAAAAGAAATGTATAGAAAAGTTGGAGGGAAATGTGGGCTGGAGCTCAGGTCTGAAATGATGGGTATGCCTTACTGAAGAAGAGGGAAGAGAAAAAGTTGTTAAATAGAGGGCCACATAGAAATATTCCCACTTGTGGTTTTGTTGTTCAAGGCTCCCAATCTCTTCAACATCCACAATTTAGGAAGTGAACATACCAATTTATTGCTGCTTGTCTGGCAGAAATCATTGTTTTCCCAAGTCAAATAATACTGTAATACCAGAATGGTTGGGTAATCCTGATTTGCTTTTCTTTCCTACTTTTAATTCTACTCTTTCCCTTCTCTTTCTCTTTTCTTACTAACATTTGTTGTGATTGTCTGCACGGGCAGGGATCAGGACATGAGCCTTTTGACTTAAGTTGTGAGAGAAGTTATTGTTGCCATCTATCAGAGCTAATAATCTGGAGAAATGAGTACCATATGTTGTTCATTCTCTTCCTCAGATTGATAATTGATATGACACAGGCAGATGCAGAAGCAGACGATGATCTGAAATGAATAATATTTGGTTCTGAGCACAGATGCCAGGATTTGGAAGTGACTCCTTACAGTGTGTCAAAGGTATTGACATTCAGGGGCGCTTAGGGATGTGCAGTTCAAATAAAAAAATGAGATCTTTCTTGGAGGTCTTCCAATTTCAAACGGAGGAGGAATCAGTTCTCTAACAAATCCCAAAGGGAAATTTTTATGTTTATCAATGTGAGGAGCCAGTGCAGCATAACAAAAGACTTGCAAAGGAGAAAGGAAACTGACTCAGAAGAAGCAACACCCTAAGCAATAAAATTAGAGCTACTTACGCTTTTTCCAGAAATGCGTCCCTGGACATGTTGTGGGCCAGCAGGTTTGTTGCCAAATTGAAAACCTCATTTGTCCATTCCTGGAAAATGTAAATCACACTTGCATTAGCTTAATACTGTACAGTCATTAGACACATGTTTAACTAGGGAGACAAATCCATTCAATTTGTATGCTTAAGATTGGTGTGGTTTTTTTTGTTTGGTTTTTTTTTTTTTTTTTTTTTTTTTTGTGTGTGTGTGTGTATGTGTGTGTAAAAATGACACAATTAAATTCAAAACCTAAGGAAATGCTCTTTACAATAAACAAAGATTTTACTGCTTTTAAAAACTCTACTGATAGGAATCTGGTATGTTGCCATTCAATAACTAAATACTTTGTCCTAGTTTTCTTTCATTATCAACAGATAAAGAGTTATATAAAAGTTTAAAATATAGACAGATATATTCTCAATACACCTACAAATGTAGTCTTCCCATTTTATAACTCAAGCCAAAGCAGCTTCCCAGGGATATTTAAATGTTTATTAAGGTTCTAGAAGTTCTTTAAACCAGTTGCAGTAATAATGTCATACGGTATCTGGTAGTCTCCTGCCCCCAACTCTGTCAATCCCTCACTTCTTCCTAATCTTAATCCCTACCTCATCCCATTCACTGGTGATCTTGCTTGGTTTACATGAAAATGAAAAAGAACAAACCTGCAAATAAAGTTGAAGTTCTATTCTGGATGATAATTTTTAACACACAATTAACATTCTAGTCCAAAAAAGAAATGTCTGTAAGAGGTAACATAAGATCTAAGTAGCCTAATTACCCAGTGTTATTGTTGGCATGGCTTTCTCCTCAATGAAATCATGTTTTTTAGTTCAATGTTTTTTGTACCTAATTTTGTTATTTCTACTGTTGTTTCTTGGTATTTTGTTTTTTGTCTCTTGACTTAAGACACTGATAATATGCCATCCTATATAATAAAAGGCTAATATGTAAATCGACCAAACAGCAGAATGACTGGTCACTATGACACACACTGACCACCAGGGGGCAGACACTCAACACAGGAGCTGCCTCCTGGAAGTCAGTGTGCTCCTACAGGGAAAGTGCCATTCAGCCAGAAGCTGGGATCACAGCTGAGCGTAGTGGCAGTGGTGGGCGCTTTTCCTGCCTTCTTGGCAATTGGACACCCCGAGTGCAAGAGGGTGCACTCACCTCACCTCCAGTGCACGAATCTCATGCACCAGGCTTCTAGTCATGTAATAAAGTAACATTTGAAGTGGGACTTTAGGAATGGGGGTAGAGAGTGATGGAATAGGAACAGTGCATTGTAAGCAGAGAAAATTGGGGGATGGGGAGAACAGAGGCAAGCAAACAGGGCAGTACTGAGAGGGAATGGGGAATAGTCTAATATAAATTTGAAAGGAAAGGGGGAGTTGCAACAACAAAAAAGTAAAATTGAGGCTGGTGTACAAACAACATTTAATGTCTACTCAGGTATCTGAAGATAATTTAGCAAAATAATGTAATATCACCTAAGGCTTTTTTTGGTGTGTGTGTGTGTGTGTGTGTGTGTGTGTGTGTGTGTGTGTGTGTTTAGGGTGCAAAGTGAGGGGACTATGGCCTAGAATGTGTTAGGGAGATTATCTGGCAGCCTTGTCAAAGATGGAATTCAGGCTGAGAAATCAAATGGCGGGAATTCACTTTGGAAGTTGTAATAGTCCAAGTGAGAGCATAGCCACTTTGAACTCCACATTGTATGTGGAAGATTGGGAAAAACCGAAGAGTGCAACTGTGAGGGAAGCCAAATAACTGACCATCAAGCTTGAAGTATTCACAGAAAACAATAGAAATAATTTTTTAAAAGCTTTAAAGTAAAGCTTCTTCAAAGAAAATCTGAATCTAAGAGTAATAACAACTGGCACTGATTTTTAAAATATGGTTCTGGTTTAATATTTTCTGGGCTAAGGATCAAATTTTAGATATTTCCAGCTCCCTGGCAACTTCAAACATGGGTAAAAGTATTTATAATTGATGGCAATGCACTACTTTGTATGCTACTGGGACCAATTCCACACCAGAAATTGGTACAGAGAAGGCATTATAAAGAGTGGGGGAAATTTAACTGGTTCTAATCTCTATTATATGAGGTCCAGTAGAAATACAGGGTGGGGCAAAAGAGGTATTTGTGAGTACACTAAAAACAGAGTTTATTCATTTGTTATTATTTATTTATTATTGTACTAGAGGCCTGGTGCGTGAAATTTGTGCATGGTGGGGGTGGGGGGTGTTATGTGTCCCTCAGTCCAGCCTAGACCCTTTCCAATCTGGGACCCCTTGAGGAATGTTGGACAGCCTTTTCACAATCCAGGACTGCTGGCTCCCAACCACTCGCCTACCTACCTGATTGCCCATAACCATTTCTGCCTGCCAGCCTAATCACCCCCTAACCATTTCCCTGCCAGCCTGATTGATGCCTAATGGCTTCCCTGCTGGCCTGGTTGTCCCTAACTGCCCTCCCCTATAGGCCTGGTTGCCCCCAACTACCCTCCTCTGCCAGCCCAGTCACCCCTAACAGCCCTCCCCTGTAGGCCTGTCCCTCCCAACTGCCCTCCCTTGATGGCCTGGTCCCTCCCTACCTTCCTCCCTACCTCCCTCCCCTGCTGGCCATCTTATGGCAGCTATCTTGTGTCCACATGGGGGTGGCCATCTTTGACCACAAGGGGCAGCCATCTTGTGTGTTGGAGAGATAGTCAATTTGCATATTACTCCATTGGAATAACTGTAAACCCACTTTTGCTTCACCCCATAATGTGAACAACATTTAACTTTTTTGTAGCCACATTTAAAAAATTAAAAAAAAAAAAAAATAGCCGAAACCAGTTTGGCTCAGTGGATAGAGCTTCGGCCTGCAAACTGAAAGGTCCCGGGTTCGATTCTGGTCAAGGGCATGTACCTTGGTTGCGGGCACATTCCCAGTAGGGGATGTGCAAGAGGCAGCTGATCGATGATTCTCTCTCACTGATGTTTCTAACTTTCTATCCCTCTCTCTTCCTCTCTGTAAAAAATCAATAAAAATATATATAAAAATAAAAGTAAAAAAATAAAAAGCAAAACAAAACAAAACAAAAAACAACAATAAAACCAGGGAGACTAATTTTAAAAAAATACATTTTAGTTAGCCCAATATTTTTTAGAATATATTATTACTTGTGTAATCAATATAAAATTACTGATATATTAATACTTTACATTTTTTAATGTGCTGAGTCTTTGAAATGTGGTATGCATTTTGCACTTATGCTCACCTCAATTGCATTGGCAATCTTTCAAGTGCTCAATAGCCAAACATGTGGCTGGTGTCTGTGGCTGCCACATTGGCCAATGCAGATCTCCTGGATCCTTTGCTCTTTTTATGGACCCTTTATGAAGCCAACTGTAGGAGAGCTTCAGTACCACCTTCACTGCACAGCCACAGTCAGCTCATTACTACAGTAAAGCATAATTTGTTTCATCACATTCTCAGAAGGTAGCCATCTAAATTTCCAAGTGTGGAATTGCTAGAATCCACTGGCCTCCTGCAGTCTTTTGAGATATCGGGTCTAGTAATAATTAATGTCGTTTTAAAACATTCGTTTAAAATCTTGCTTGGCGTTGACTTCTATTGACATAACCTTCAAACACGTGGTATCTACAGAACATGTGAAGTGCAATTAACAAGTTTTGCTTGAAAAAGTTTGTGTTTGGTTTGGTTTTTTGTTGCAAAACTAGGGCTAAGAAGATGGCGGATGAAGAGCATATTCGGCACTGCATGCTTTTACGAGTTCCAATTAGGAAGAAAAGCAAGTGAGGCTGCAAAAAACATCTGTAGTGCTCTTGGTCAAGATGCAGTTAGCGCCAGAAAATGCCAGTGTTGGTTTGAGAAATTTCGCGAGGGAAATTTTTCGTTAGATGACGAGAGTGGTCGAGGCCGTGTGTCCAATTTTGATCAAGAAGCTCTTCAAGCTCTTTTGGTGCAAAATCCTCAAATTACCCAACAAGAGCTTGCGACAACTTTAAATTGTTCACAAAAAACAATTTCCAATCAATTGCGTGCACTTGGCAAAGTCCAAAAGTTTGGAAAATAGGTTCCTCATGAGTTGACCGACAACAACCGTAATCAAAGAGTCACAATTTGCAGTTCGCTCCTCTCTCGTCAAAACCGTTTGCTGTTTTTAGAGCAAATTGTTACCGGAGATGAAAAATGGGTACTGTATGTTAATTTGAAAAGGCGGCCTCAATGGTTGGACAAAAATGAGGCTCCGCAGCCCACGCCAAAACCTGACTTGCATGCGAAAAAAGTGATGTTGTGTGTTTGGTGGAATTTTAAAGGAATTCTTCATTATGAACTTTTACCATCTAACCAAACCATTACAAGTGCAGTGTATAGTGCCCAACTGGAAAGGTTAGCCCAAGCTTTAAGAGAAAAAGAACCCGTGCTGATTAATCGGAAGGGCGTAATTCTTCACCACGATAACGCATGACCGCATACTGCAAGAACCACTGCTGAAAAACTACGCCAGTTGGAATGGGAAGTTCTCCCTCAACCTGCATATTCTCCTGATATTGCCCCTTCCAATTACCATTTGTTTCGTTCTTTGCAAAACTTTCTTCTTGGAAAAAAATTTAATAATGAAGAATGCCTCAAAAATGCATTGACCGAATTTTTTGCATCAAAATCACAAGAATTTTACAACAGAGGGATTAAAATGCTTCCTGAGGGTTGGGCACAAGTAGTAGAAAACAACGGCAACTATATTGTTGATTAAATTTTGTTGTATTGTTTAAATAAATTTGATTTAAAAAAGTATTAGAAAACGACATTAATTATTACTAGATCTAATACACAAGAGATCTCATCTAGGTTGATTCAAAGATTGGGGTGGGGGGGAGGGTTAAAGAGGGGAGGGGAGGAAGCAGTGATCAAGAGAACTTTAGAAATAATCCAACTCTTGATTTGGTGATGGTCACCGAGCAAAATGGTATGTGTCCTACTTTGGATTCTTTTTGAGCATAAATAGCACACCCCACGACAAGGATTTATGAGGAGTGG